CCAGCAGAAGGAGCAGCTGAAGTGGGAGGAGACGCTATGGAGAAAGGTGGACTGGAATAAGGCCATCCGTGTCCGCGACTCTCTTTCGACCCCGTGCAGAGCGAGGGAAATTATTCTGCGGGCACACATCAACAACCTCCAAGTGGGGGAAAGGCTCCCTTTCCTGGGGGCACGGGCGAGGTGCATACACTGTGGGGCTACGGAGTCACAAAACCACTGCCTTTTCAGCTGCCCGACAATACAGCCAGTGGTCGGAATGATGAAGGCAGCGGTACACTAGATGAACCCGGGCAGAGTGATGAAATCCCTCGGCGACATGCTCTTCCAGAAAAGTGGCACGTCGACGGCTTTCCGGAGGCAGCAATAATATCAACCACTGCGCACCAAGTCTGGCTGGAGAGGTGCAATGCGGTCTTCAGGGGGAGCCGTTTCCAACCAAAACGGGCCCTGCGGCGGATAGCAGTCAGTTTCACGAGGCACGTGAAGATATACAGTCGAGCTCGAAAACGGGCGGCAGGCAAGACTGGGAAGAAGGGAAAAGGGGATTGGAGCCATCTGGATGCTGACGAGGTGAGCGTCATGCGTAGGCTATTTGTTTCGAAGGCCTCGATGACATGGAGACCAGGTTTCAAGGCAGTGTGGGAGGACAAGGGAATAGCCTTCCAGCCACCGTAGAGGGGAGAAGGGGAGTGGGGTTACAAAGGTAGCTTTCTACTCTCTCCTAGCTCCAGTTACGACTGAGGATGTATGTATGCACGCTGTATACTTATATCCACAAAAAAAAAAAAGAACCAATACGAACCACAGAAACCGAAGTTTGACTGAAGTGATTGAAGTCAAACAGTCAACGGTGAGTTACATATGTTTTTTATAAGCCCTTTCTGCTAGGTGCGAATTGACGAAATCTTCGCGAAATGCAAAAAACGCTTATACGCCCAGAGAGTAAGGCGAGGTCGGGGGGCTCAAACGAGCATCAGGTGTAGCACTTGGTTTTAGGGGGCGCAGAATATAGGGGCATGAGGGAATAAGGCTTGATCTTTCAATACACATGATGCTCACCCCCTGCACGCAAAATTGCCTTGCACAAATTAGAAACCCTGCACTCGTGGGTTTTTTGCCTGCATGTTGCACCCACGGTACAGTCCCCTTGGACTACCTTCTCGAGTTGGTTGAATACAACCAACAATGAATATAGGCCACAAAAGAAACAAGGCACACCATGCCTGTCTCTGTTTCAAGGCAAGAAACAACGGGGACGAAGTGTGAGGACGAAATCACACCACGTTGGTTTCCACTTTCGCACACCATGCTTTGCCACGTAAGATGTTTCATGGTGCGCCAAACAGGCCTGGGTCGAATTCAGTTCGCCAGCTGTACATTGCCCAAACCCGATACAAACACTTTCGTAGCCTCACGATGTGTAGCATAGACACGTCACAACTGACGGTGGTGGTTACAGGGTAGCATCTGGCCTAAAACCAGTTCCCAATGCTTGTGTTCAATTGCACGTCAATCACAACATTGTCAATGTGCGCCCTCACCCCAACCTTTGAGACAGCAACCAACGCAGCGATAAAAGGTAATGTTTCCTACTCGTAACCCATAGTCTCTGAATCCCCCGCTTACCACCATGCCTTGCCTCTACCACCGTTCGCAGCTCGGCTTGCCGATCAAGAGGGCAATCTACGAGCACCACGTCGCAAACCCCCAGTTGCGCCATGTCGTTCTTGCTCGCTGGAGCTTCACCCGCTTCGGGATTTGTCCCGACCGCAGCACCATTGGGCGCGTACTCAAGGGCGCCGACCGTTGGGTGAGCCATGATGGTGCCGCCGACGTCATCCGCGTCCGCGGCGGTGCTTACCCGGAGCTTGAGCACGCAATGGCCCGATGGATCGCCAATACGGGCCCGGCTGGCGTCCCGCTCACTCTAGCCACTATCCGAGATCATGTCGCGAATAAGGCGAGGAACCAGGGGTTACCGCCCACCTTTCGCTGCTCCATCGGCTGGGTTCATCGCGCCTTGCGCCATCAGGTGTCCGCTGCATGAGCGCCGTCGGAGAAGCCGCCGACCAGGACATGAACGCCGTGCGTACGACTAAGGAAAAGTTGCCGCAGCTGTTGATGCATCTGGCCGTGACCCCAAGCAACACGTTCAACTTCGACGAGACTGCCCTATACATCTCTATCCTACCTCGAAAGACGTACGGAAGCGTCCGTACGGTGGGTAGGAAGATTGCCAAGCAGAGATTGACCGTAGGCTTCCTTGTCAACGCTGACGGGTCATGCGTTTTCTGGCCCTTGGTGATTTCGAAGGCGAAGAGGCCCCACGAATTCCGCCCCGATTACAACCCCGAGGAGCTGTGCTATTGGCGGCACAACGCCAAAGGATGGATGACGAGCTCGGTGGGTTAAACAATGTGTCGTTTTCAATCCAAACTTTAGCAGTCCAGTGTTTCAATGTGTGTGTTTACCGTGATGTTCCTTGTTATCTTACCGCCCCGTGCTCCATGCGCAGTTGTTTACTCATTACATTGAGCAGCTTGACGCTGCTGTGTACGCCGAAGGAAGAAAGATCGTGGTGCTGCTCGACAACACAAGCAGCCACACTCTCAAAACTGAAGGTGCCATGACCGAAGACATGTTCGGGTTCCGCACGTGCGCGCTCGGGAACGTGTGCCTCGTGTATCTGCCCCCAAACACGACCTGATTCACCCAGCCCCTTGACCAGGGGCTCATCTCCATGGCGAAGGCGCGGTATCGCCAGCACTGGCTCCGCGCCTTCACCCGCATGAGGTCCGCCGACGGCGCAACATCCGCTGCTGTGCGTTTCAAGCCGAACATGCGGGCCGTGCTGGAGTGGCTCAGCGACGCGTGAATGAACATACCACGCCGTGCCATCCAGCACTGCTGGTGGCGCACGGGATGTCTGCCGCGCGTGTGGGCCTTATCGCTCCCGCACGTGGAGGTCGGCGACGGCAACAACGGTGTCGCAGTGGGCGCTGGGATGAATGCGGCTGACATCGGCCTCGACGAGGAGGTCAACGATGTCGGGCCTAGCGCAATGGCCCGACATCCTCATCGACCGCCTCTGCCTCGGGCCTAGCGCAATGGCCGCCAACGATTTCGTCGGCATCGATGACAACCAGCCTGTGAGGATCTAGGATCAAGCTCAGAAAAGAGAGTTTGAATTGAATGATCACCTGGGTACAACACGAGGCTATATAGGCTCGACACAAGGGGCAGTAACCAGGTGTTACGCGAAGGTTCTGGGGGTCGCGAAGCGTCCCGAACAGACCCTTCTCGAATTCGGTAGAAGGCAATTCGGTGGCAACCGAATAGCCCAGAATTCGGTGTACGCAACCTAGCTCGGTGCTATAACTATAATAAAATATAGGAAAGCACCTAGCCTAGGAAATCAAGCAATTCATGCATGCATAAAATAAACCTAAGCTAGAAGTAGCATAATAAAGTAAAGGCAAGCATGCATAGCTGGCATAAGCCGTCGTACTCTCACACGCCCACCTGCGCGGAACCGGGCGAGGACCCGGTTGCGCATGAGCCGGCGTCATCAGCGGCGGCCGAAATGTGGGAGGCGCCTGCTAATATGCAGGCTGTCTACGACGACAGCAATTCCGCATCTCGCGAGGCACGGCGCACTGCGCGCGCGGCGTGCGAGATGCTGATAAGGTACGCGCACGCGACCTGCATCACCCCGCGCGACTTGTGCGCTCTCTTCGATATCCGCAATCCAATCATTAGAGAGCGTATGGAGCGCGCAAGCCCGCCGCTTGATCTCAACCACGCCCCACCCCCCGCCATGACTCACGCCGACACCCCGCCGCCCGAAACTCCTCGTCGCCGAGGTCGGGTGCTTCCGGTGTGAATGCATGTGCCCACCCCTGACTGGGTGGCGCAATCGGCCCGCCGCCAGGAGCTCGTTGATGCCGGTGCACGCGCCGTCATGAGCGGTTACCTGGCCGCCGCAGAGTGGATGCGGCTGTGAGAGGGGATTTGTACCCCTTAGAGGTGTTTGTTGCCTCCTCTAATGCATCAGGTGTACGACTTGTGCACGATTTGCTAAGTACAGGACTGATGACGGGGACTTGGGGTTGGGTACAGGTGGTGCTGCTTTATTGGGTGGTAGTATGTATGTGGTGTTTGTGACAAGGCAGAGTGCGTAATGTAATGGTGTGTTAATGAAAGGGGCGAAAATGGGGTAACCATGTGTATGAATGCAGAACAAACTAAGCCATCCCACACTGTACATGGAAAGGACAAACGTGTTACAACCTCTGCCTTTTAAGCGCACATGATGGCCGTGGAGAAACCAACGAAGTCGCCGAATTGCTGAAATCGCTTGTAAGCCCAGAGCACAAGGCAACCTTGGGGGACTATAATGCGCATCAGGTGTACCTTCTATTCTCAGCCGAGACAGAATGATTATCCTAAGAGTCCGAGACAGAATGATTATCCTAAGAGTGATTGTCGATAATGCAATATGCGAAGTTGCATAAAATTTCAAAACAAATACAAAAGTACTATAATATTAATAAGATTCTAAGGACATATGGCACTCAGCTTTCATAGATTGAGAAAAAAATTGGTAAGAAATATGGTTTGTATATTTTCTTTCACAATTTGTGTGAAAAATATAAGCCGACTGTTAGAATGAGCAGCAGGAATGAATGTACTATGACAGGGTTTGGTACAAGTACTAACCCTAAACTGGGTTGTACCCCATATAGGCTACCCCACTACAGCCTACACAATACAATGTTTTGACACACCCCCATAGGCAAGGTGGGGGAGCACAAGTAGTCACAGACAAGCAAAGCAAGCTCAGGGTGGATCACAAAGTCACCACACATTCTGAGCACAAGCAAAGGGCCACAAGGCCAGTCCACATGCAGAGTTATATAAAACAAATCAAGCGGTACAGTGATCACAACCTAGCAAATGTAAGCATGCAAGGATATATATATATCACACTACAAGCAAGGTCAAGCAGTGAGCAAGTGAGAGAACGTAGGCACGAGGCCTAGAGCAGTGCAGTGACGCTGATGATCACTAGGCGGAAGTGCCTTGGTGAATATATCAGCTGTGTTGGCCCGTGTGTCCACGTAAGCAAGACGAAGCTGGCCATGCTGCTGCAGCTCTCGAGCAAGAAAGTAACGCAGAGCGATGTGTTTCGTTCTGTGCTCCAGTCTGTGCTCCTGACACAAGGCGAGGGCTGCCTTGTTGTCACCGTACAGAACTGGAGGAGAACGAGGCCGCTCTCCCAAGTCAGTCAGCAGGTAGGTGAGCCAGCGAAGCTCCTGTGCAGCCATGGCTGTGGCGTAGATCTCAGCCTCACAACTGGAGCTGAGAACAGAAGAAGAGCGGGTAGACCGCCAAGAGACAGAGCCGGAACCAAGACTGAAGGTGTAACCCTGCGACGACCGCTGTGTAGCCAGGTCGTCAACCCAAGAGGCGTCTGAGTGTCCAGTGAGGACAACGTCACCCCGTCCTCCAAGCACCAGCCCCATGCCTGATGTACTACACAAGTAGCGCAGCACCCTCTTAGCAGCCTCCCAGTGCTCTCGCCGGTGTCTCCCAGGTGCAACGTAGCGAGCTAGGATGCTAAGAGGGTACGCAAGGTCAGGTCGAGTGCAGGTCATCAGGTACATGAGGCAGCCCACAAGCTCTGGATACGGGCCACTCGGCTCTACGGACACGTCTGATGGTGGAGCTGAGAGCGAGTGACGTGTAGACAGAGGAGTGGACTGTGGTGAGGAGTACTGGAAGTCGAAGCGCTGAAGGATCTGCTGCACCAAGTGTAACTTGGTCAGGGTAATGGTGCGGCGTGCTCTATCCCGGGTGATCTGCAAGCCAAGGTAGCTGCGCAGCTCACCCAAGTCTGTGCACGTGTGTCTCTTCTGCAGCTCCGACTTCACAAGGGCTAGTGCCTCAGTGTCAGCAGTGGCAAAGACCAAGTCGTCGACGTATATGACGATGTAGAACGGCGGCAGAGAAGTGTCGGTGCGAAGAAACAGCGACGGGTCAGCAGTGGAGGGAGCAAACCCAAGAGCCGCAAGTGTCGTCCTCAGTGTGTCGTGCCACTCATGAGGCGCCTGGCGGAGACCGTAGACTGGCCGCCGGAGGCTCCACTGGGTACCAGGAGGGAACGACCTAGTGAAGCCAGGAGGGCGGCACAGCCAGATCTCCTCGTGCAGGCTGCCCTGCAAAAAAGCAGTGCTGAAGTCAAGAGAGTGAAGCTCGTAGTCACGCTGAGCGGCAACGTGCAGCAGTATACGAAGAGTGGTCATCTTCGGGGTAGGGGAGAAGGTATGGAAGAAGTCAACTCCCTGTCGCTGACTGAAGCCTCGTGCAACGTAACGAGCCTTGAAGACAGGCGGAGAACTCGGCGGCCGCTTCACCCTGAAAATCCACATGCCATCGACTATGTTCGCCCGAGGAGGGGGGACCTCGTCGACGTAGGTGCCTGTGGACTTCCAGGATGCCATCTCTGCGTCCATGGCTGTCTGCCACTGAGAGGAGTAGGGACCCGAGATCGCCTCTGCGTAAGAGTGCGGGGTCGGGATGTCCAGTCCATCCGGGTCTCCCTCAGGTGCAAGCAACCAGGCGACGAGATGAGGTACGGCAGCCGCAAGAGACTCAAAGTCCTCCTGCCTATCCTCAAGGACGTCCGTGCTAAGAGCACACTCACCCCCGACGGACGAAGGACAGACAGACTCAGACTCAACAACAAGACTGGCGGCGTAGTCTAGACGACACGCAGCAGCAAAGTCGACAAGCTCAGCAACTAAGGCAGACGCAGCAGTGGACTCAAACGACGGGTCAGTGACAACAGTAGCCAGGAGACGCGTGACTGTGGGGCTGGCAGCACGAACACGGTTAGACTCAGGGTCAGGAATCTCAGGAAGAGAGGACGCAGGAGGAGACGGCAGAGGGACGCGCTGTGGAGCAGAGGAAGGACGAAGTGCCATAGTGTGAGTGCCTGGCACAGGAGGAGGACGCGGACGCGGGACACGACGAGCGGTGCGACCAGCTTTAACAGGGGAGACAGGACGAGACGCAGGCTCACGACACTCTGTAAGGGAGACCGGCTGCTCAGTGTAACGAGACGGGGCAGGCAGCGGCGAGCCAGGAGGAAGGGCAGTGGACGAAGGAAGACTAAGAACCTAGCGGAGCACCGACTCGGGCGGAAGCTCGGACAGCTGCGGCGGCGGCTCAAAAAACGGTCGCTGCTGCACAGAACCTCCAGCTCCAGTACCTCCAGCTCCAGCGCCTCCAGCGCCAGCGCCTCCAGCTCCAGTGCCTCCGGCTCCAGTACCTCCAGCTCCAGCACCTCCAGCTCCAGTGCCTCCAGCTCCAGTGCCTCCAGCTCCAGTGCCTCCGGTTCCAGTACCTCCAGCTCCAGCGCCTCCAGCTCCAGTGCCTCCGGCTCCAGTGTCTCCAGCGCCAGCACCTCCAGCTCCAGCGCCTCCAGCGCCAGTGCCTCCAGCTCCAGCGCCTCCAGCTTCAGCGCCTCCAGCGCCAGCGCCACCAGCTCCCGAGCCCGCAACACCACCAGCTCCTGCAGCTCCAGTACCAGCAGAACCACCAGCCCCGGCAGCTCCAGTACCTCCAGTACGAGCACCTCCAGGACCAGCAGCTCCAGTACCCCCAGTACCTCCAGATCCAGCAAGACCTCCAGCACCTCCAGGACTAGCAGCTCCAGGGCCTCCAGCTCCAGCACCCCCAGGACGAGCACCTCCTGGACCAGCAGTGCCAGCACCACCAGCACCTCCAGTACCAGCCGCACCACCAGCCCCGGAAGCTCCAGTACCTCTGGTATGAGCACCTCCAGGACCAGCAGCTCCAGAGCCTCCAGCCCCGGCGCCCCCAGCTCCAGCAGCGCCACTCAGAAGGCGGGAGCGTCGAGCAAGCCACTCACGTAGTTGCTGTGGTGAGAGAGGCTCTCGCCGACTAGACTGCGGTGGCGAGGCACCTGTAGGACCTCCAGGACTAGTAGCTCCAGTACCCCCAGTACCTCCAGCTCCAGCAGGACCTCCAGCACCTCCATGACTAGCAGCACCACCAGCCCCGGCAGCTCCAGTACCTCCAGTACGAGCACCTCCAGGACCAGCAGCGCCAGCGCCAGAGCCTCCAGCTCCAGCAGCACCACTCCGAAGGCGGGAGCGTCGAGCAAGCCACTCACGTAGCTACTGTGGTGAGAGAGGCTCCCGCAGTGAAGACGCAGCACCCCTAGGCCCAGCACATCCAGACTCAGCACCCCAAGGCTCCACACACTCAGGCTCAGCACCCCCAGGCTCCGCACCCCCAGGCTCCGCACGCTCAGGCTCAGCACCCCCAGGCTCTGCACGCTCAGGCTCAGCACCCCCAGGCTCCGCACGCTCAGGCTCAGCACCTCCAGACGCAGCACCCCCAGGACCACCCCTAGCAGCACCTGAGTCACCAGTGACCTCGATCGGCTCAGCCAAGGGAAGTGGGTCTACCTGAGACACACCTGAAGGAGCAGGACCCTGAGGGGGGAGGGGGTCTACCGGAGGGGGACCTGGAGCGAGGAAGAGCGGCGGGGGGGGGGAGAGAGGCAGTGAGGTAGGGGAAGAGACGGTAGAAGGGAACCGACTCGTCAAAGGTGACGTCCTGGGACGCGAAGACACGGCGCGAGGTGGGGTGGTAAAACTGCCAGCCAGGCGCGTCAAGGGGAAAGCCAAGGAAGACGCAGGGAATGGCGCGAGAGGAGAGCTTGTCCGCGGTGGTATCGCGGACAAAGGCACGGGAGCCCCAGACCCGGAACCGCGACGCATCGCCAACCTCCCCCGTCCAACGCAGTGCGGGCGAGGTCTCCGGCAAGGAGACACGGGGCCAGAGGTTGAGCTGATGCGCAGCGTACCGGACCGCAAACGGCCACAGAAAATGGGGAGCAGCCGCATGGACCATGGAGGTACGAGCAACCTCCATGACTAAGCCAATGCGGCGCTCAGCAACCCCATTCTGCTGCGGTGAGGCCGGAAGCGTGAACGACTGGAGGATGCCCTCCCCCTGACAAAAGTCCTGCAAGAGGTCGGAGGAGAACTCACCACCTCTGTCAGAGTGCAGACGCAGGACAGGAAAGTCCGTGCGGAACCGCTCGCGGAGCTGGAGACGAACAGTGCGGATCCAAGGGATCAAAACAGCAGGGACCTCCCCCTTGCTGCGCAAGGGGAAGACCGTGGTGTAACGCGAATAGTCGTCAACAACCAGCAGAAAGTACCGCTCGCGGCCCTGTCCACTGACGCGGGCTGGGCCCCACACGTCCATGTGGAGAGTCTGCAGGGGAGCAGTCGTCGGGGGAAACGAGGAGGAGTGAGGAGCGGCGCGCTGCCGCCCCTCGACGCAAGGAAGGCAGGGCGGGGCAGGCGAGCGCGGGAGGGGGGGCAGAGACCTGGGAAGGCCAGAGACAAGGAGGCGGGAGTGCATGCCACGGAGGCGTGGCAGGGAGGGGTGACCAAGGCGGTGGTGCCAGAGGAGAGTCTGGTGCGAAAGGAGGCGACACGAACAAGGGGCTGACAGCTGACCCCACGCAGACACCTGACCAAGCGCAGCGACCTGAGGAGGCTCAGTAGTCAGTGTGTACAGGCTCGACCCAGGCCGACGGGTGAACGTGGCCAGGTGACGGCCCGTCCGTGCACACGTGCAGATCGCCACACGCTGCCCTCCAGGGGTAAAGGTATCAACCCAAGCATCCTGAAGGACGGCGGCACTCACCAAGTTCGTAGAGAACGAGGGGAGGTGAAGACCTGTCAGTGAGCCAGACGGAACCGCCGGACACGGGAGAACAGTGGAGGAACGTGCAAGAACTGGGCCCCTGGAGGGGTCAACCAGAGAGACTGCAACAGGTGCAGGGAGTGGTGTGACTGTGGTACTGTCGCGAAAGAAACAGCGCGAAGCACCTGAGTCAAGTGTGAAGGTGTGCAAGGCCTCAGCAGGAGCAGTACCAGAGAGAGCAGACTCACAAGCACGAAGAGTAGCAGCCTCTATACCAGAGAGAGCAGACTCGCTAGCACCTAGAGCAGCAGCCGCTATACCTGGGTCGGGCGGCACACACAGGTAGCAGTCACCCTCAGTACCAGCAGGCAAAGCGTACATGGCCGTAAGGATAGCGTCATAGTCTAGAGCAAATATATCCACACCGCGCCGACGCAGCTCTAACCAGTGGGGGAGCTCAGTCGCGACGCCAAACTTCTGCGCGCCAGGCGTCGCTCAGATAGGCGAAGCAGCGGGACTGTGTGTGGCCATGTTGTCAAACATATATCTGTTGTTGTTGTTTAGGCTACAGTGGGTTAGCCTTTAGGGGGTACACAAATTCTAGGGTTGCATACTTGTACTCACATTCTTGCTAGTCATTCTCATTCCTGCCAGTTAGTTTCAACATGGTTTCAGAGCAGGTCCTTCGCTAGGACCGTTTTTTTTTAAGGGCCCACCGTTACCTACCTACCTACCTACCTACCTACCTACCTACCTGCGCCCTAGAGCGCTTCGTACTTCACGGCCCCCTAAGGCCCCGCGACCCGCGACCCGCACCTTAGCGACCCGCGCGCCGCCCCTTAGCGACCCCGTCGGCCCCGCGTTCGCCTCCTATCGGCCCCTCTACGGCCCCGCGTTCGCCCCTAGAGGCCCCTTACGGCCTGTCGCAGCCCCTTAGAGGCCCCGTCGGCCCCGCGCGCCGCCCCTAGAGGCCCCGTCGACCCTGTCGCAGCCCCTTAGAGGCCCCGTCGGCCCCGCGCGCCGCCCGCTAGGGGCCCCGTCGACCCCGCGTACCGCCCCTTAGAGGCCCCGCTGGCCCCGTCGACCCCACCCACCGCCCCTACCTGCCCCGCGCGCGATCGCGACGGCCCCGCCCGCACCGAGCCGCGCCGCCCTAACCGAGCCGCGCCGCCCTAACCGAGCCGCGCCGCCCTAACCGAGCCGCGCCGCCCTACCTGCGCCTACTGCTACTGCTACTATGGCTAGTCCTCCCGTGCTAGCTTTCGATACTGAGGGACGTCCAGTGAAATTTGACACCTGGCTAGATGACCTGCACCTTTTCCTACAGCTCACTGCCAAGGAAGACATCTCACTGTACGATCACGCCCTAGGCCATGCCCCTGCGCCTGCTGCTACTGCCGACAGCTCTACCCGCTCACAGTGGCAGACTCGTGACGCCCACGCTCGCTTTGCTATTCGCAACTCCCTGCCGCTAGAAGAGCGCGAGCACTTTGGCCAGCACAAGACTGCACAGGACCTGTACAAAGCTGTCGTTGCCCGCTACTCCTCGCCTGCCTCTGCCGCTCTAGGCCGTCTCTCGCTTCCCTACCTGTTCCCCGACCTGTCCTCTTTCCACACAGTCGCTGACCTCATCACCCACCTCCGTACTAGTGAGGCCCGCTTCCGTGCTGCCATGCCCGCCGAGTTCCTTGCCAAGAACCCTCCCCCGCTCTGGCTCACTCTCTACCACCTAGTCACCCGCCTCCCTGACTCTCTGCGTGCAGTCAGGGATTCCTTCCTAGCTCGCTGCCCTACTGAGCTCACCATTGCCCTCCTCGAGAAGGAACTGCTTGCAGCTGAGGCTAGCATAGTCGCTGTAGGTGCCTCTCGTGGCGACCCCCGCACCCCGTTCTTTGAGGGGTGTTCTCCTTCCCCCCTTCTTCCCTCTGTCGCCTCTGCTGCTGCTGTCGACCTCCTTGGTGCTGAGAAGGTCGGGACTGCGTCTGCTTCGAGCGGACGCCGCAGCGGCAAGGGCAAAGGGGGCAAGGGAGGCGGAGGTCACAGTGGGGGAGGAGGTGGTGGGGGCGGTGGCGGCGGTGGGGGTGGTTGCGGGGCTGGAGGGGTGAGTGGTGGCGGTGGGGGGGGGGCGGCAGCGGCGGGGGAGGTGGCAGAGGCGGGGGCGGTGGTGGGGGTGGCGGTGGACGTGGAGGCGGCGCGGGCTGGGGTGGTCGAGGAGGTGGGAGCGGAGGTGGTGGTCGTGGAGGCGCTGGCGGTGGCCAGAGCCAGCAGCACACTCCGTCGCCCCAGGAGGTCCGTGAGTGGTACTCTCAGCACGGGGGGGGGGGGTGGGCTTAGCTGCACGTACGTCATCCGCACTGGTGACCGCGCTGGTCAGACGTGTGGGAGGGCCCACACCGCGCAGCGCTGCTTCTCTCGTCTTGACGATGCTTGGCGTGTTCAGTTCCCTCAGGCCTCTGAGCTGCCCCGCTGGATTGATCTCCTGAAGAAGGGGATTGATATCTATGCTCTAGACTTTGATGCTATTCTCACTGCCATGTATGTGATGTCTACTAGTGGAGAGGGTGCCGAGTACCTGTGTGTTCCGCCCGACCCGGGCATTAGGACCAGTGAGTCTGCCGCTTCAGGTCCGCGCGTGTCTGCTTCCTCAGGTGCTGGTACGGCTGCTGCTCTAGGTGCTTGTGCGTCTGCGCCCACTGGTACTGAGTCGACTGCAGCACTGCACACCTTCACACTGGACTCAGGTGCCTCTCGCTGCTTCTTTCGTGACCGCACTGCCCTTGAGCCGCTTGCTCGGCCAGTTGCTGTCTCCCTCGCTGACCCCTCCGGGGGACCGGTCGTGGCGACCTCCTCCACTGTCCTTCCCTGTCCTGCGGTCCCGTCGGGCACATTGTCCGGTCTCCACCTCCCCTCGTTCTCTACGAACCTGGTGGCTGGGTGTGCGCTCCAGGACGCGGGTGTTCACCAGTTCACCCCGGCCTACGAGCGCGTGACGCACTGCACGTGTGCCCGTACGGGCCGCCACTTGGCTACCTTCACTCGGCAGCCGGGGTCGGACCTGTACACACTGACCACTGAGTCCCCTCAGGTTGCTGCGTCTACGTCTGCGTCCGCGTCAGGTCAGCTGTCGGCCCCCTGCTCGTGTCGCTCTCTGGCGCACGAGACTGTCCTCTGGCACCACCGACTTGGCCACCCGTCTGTGCAGCGCCTTCGGGCCATGCACTCCAGGTACCTTGTCTCTGGTCTTCCCAGGGTCCTCCCTCCTCTCCCTCCCTCGCCTGCTCCTCCCTGTCTTCCCTGTGTCGAGGGGCGGCAGCGCGCCGCTCCTCACTCCTCCTCCTTTCCCTCGACGACTGCTCCCTTGCAGACGCTCCACATGGACGTGTGGGGCCCAGCCCGCGTCCGTGGTCAGGGTCAAGAGAGGTACTTCCTGATAGTTGTTGACGACTACTCGCGCTACACCACGGTCTTCCCCTTGCGCACCAAGGGTGAGGTCCCTGATGTTTTGATCCCTTGGATCCGCAGAGCTCGTCTCCAGCTCAGCGAGCGTTTCCACTCGGACTTTCCTGTCCTGCGCTTGCACTCTGACAGAGGTGGTGAGTTCTCCTCCGACCTCCTGGCAGCCTACTGTGCTGAGCACGGCATTGAGCAGTCGTTCACGCTTCCGGCCTCTCCACAGCAGAATAGGGTTGCTGAGCGCCGCATTGGCCTAGTCATGGAGGTCGCCCGTACCTCCTTGATCCATGCGGCTGCCCCCCACTTTCTGTGGCCGTTTGCGGTCCGGTATGCTGCGCATCAGCTCAACCTCTGGCCCCGTGTCTCCATGCCGGAGACCTCGCCCACGCTGCGGTGGACGGGGGAGGTTGGCGATGCGTCACGTTTCCGGGTCTGGGGATCTCGAGCTTTTGTCCGCGACGCTTCCGCGGACAAGCTCTCCACCCGCGCTGTTCCCTGTGTCTTCCTTGGCTTTGTCCCTGACGCGTCTGGTTGGCAGTTTTACCACGCCACCTCGCGCCGGGTCCTTGCCTCTCAGGACGTCACTTTTGACGAGTCCGTCCCCTACTACCGCCTCTTCCCCTACCGCACTGCCCCGCTCCCTCCCCCGCCTCTCTTCCTCGCGCCAGGTGCTGCTGTGGTAGACCCCCTCCCCCCTCAGGGTGCCGCTCCCTCAGGTGTGTCCCAGGTAGACCCAGTTGAGCCTGTTGAGGTAGCTGTTGACTCTCGTCCTGCTGGGGGTGCGGAGCCTGGGGGTGCTGAGCCTGGGGGTGCAGAGTCAGGGGGTGCTGAGCCTGGGGGTGCGGAGTCTGGGGGTGCTGAGCCTGGGGGTGCGGAGTCTGGGGGTGCTGAGCCTGGGGGTGCGGAGTCTGGGGGTGCTGAGCCTGGGGGTGCGGAGTCTGGGGGTGCTGAGCCTGGACGTACTGAGCCTGGGGGTGCTGTGCCTGGGGGTGCTGAGCTGCAGAGTTCTGGGTCTGGGAGTGCTGAGTCTGGGGGTGCTGAGCCTGGGAGTCCTGCGCCTGGGGGAGCTCTCTCCTCGGAGCGGCTGCGTGAGTGGTACT